GCTTCCAGGGGTGGGAGAGGAGGGCAGGGGCCGCCAGCCAGTTCCGGGAGCCCCGTGATGGTGGAACCCAAGGCGCCGGGACAAAGGGCGACCTCGGGGGCCAGCTAGAGCTGTCCCGTGCCCCCTGCAGACGCCCGCTCTTCTGCCGGACGCACGGTGCCCGGGTCCCATGGAACCTCATGGTCACCTCCCGGCTCACTGTCCCTCCTGTCGGCAGCAGCCCCCGGCCTGTTCCCGGAGTTCTACCCCTGGCACAGCGGTGGGACCCGACCTGGAGGCCGCTCTACTTGACGCCCTCCCCAACATGACGGCCCTCTGGCACCTGGAGGCCCAGCTGACCACCGGTCCCCTCCGGCCCCCTGTAGCCCCCCTCCCCTAGACCACTGTCCCTCTTCCTCAGGCTGCACAGGGTGTGCACCCCCTACCCGGTCCTGTCCCTGCTTTGCCACCCCCCCCCACACCTGGGCCCCACCGTGTGGGTTCGGGAGGTCTGGCTCCCCCACAGAGTTCAGAACAGGGCACCCGGGGACCACCCAGGAGGGCGGCGACGTGCGAGCCGGGCCCCGAAGGAGCTGCGCCCCTGGCTTCCGGCTGGGCCAGGCCAGGCCCCGGGGGCCAGACCGAGACCCAGCAGAGACGTGGTGACCGGACAGGGAGGCTCCAGGAGCTGCGGAGGGAGGGACCGTCCGGCCACCGCGCAAGGCCCCCAGGGGAGGGCCGGGAGGAGCGCCTCTGCCCACACCCGTCTCTGTCTTGTCCTGGGACACGAGCCAGAGGCACAAACAGGGACGGCCTGGCTGTTGGCGCCCTTCTCTCCTTGGGCGGCGTGGTTCTCTCCCCGCTGACCGGAAGGCTGAGGGAGGTGGCAGGGCGGGGCCCAGGGGACAGTCAGACCGGGAACCGAGGAACCGCGAGGCTGTGCAGGCGAGTCCCGAGAGCCAGGCATCCGCTGGCTCACACGGCTCAGCCTGCTCTGCTTTCCTAGGTTCAGGCTCAAACCTGCCTCTTCCAGGCAGCCTTCTGTGCTTAACTCCTTCGTCCATAACAAACAGGGCGCTTACGCACGCCGCTTCCTTGGCAAATGGAAGGCTTCAGTCTCATGACTGGGGCGAGCACCCCGACCTGAGGAGCCTTCTGGGACACTCCAGGGGCTCCCTGGCCGGCCCACAACCACTGCAAATAATGCCGACACTACTTTTAAAACACGCTATTTATCCTGGCTGGCGTAGCTCAGTGGATTGAGCGCGGGCTGCGAACCAAAGTGTCGCAGGTTCGATTCCCAGTCAGGGCACATGCCTGGGTTGCAGGCCACAGCCCCCAGCAACCACACATGGATGTTTCTCTCTCTCTCTCCCTCCCTTCCCTTTCTGAAAATAAATAAATGCAATCTTTGGGGGGAAAAAGCTATTTATAAAACACGGTGCGAAGTGCTTTGGATTCCATCATCTAGTTTACCCTTGGCAGACACGCCTGGGAGGTGTTGCAAAGGGGGAAACTGAGGCTGAGAGAACTGGGAGAAGCCCGGGGCCCTGCCTGGCCCCCAGGACTGCCTCCCGCCCCCCTTTTCTGCCTTGTCCACTCTCCCAAGAATGTTCCGGTCTGGCCAACCTCTGCTTTGACTCACCCCGACGGGCCTGAGTGGACCGCAGGGGAGGCTGGCGCTGCCGATCAGAGGGGAGGGGACAGGGGCGAAGACGACGCAGGCCCCAGGGCAGCGAGCAGCGAGGGGGTGGCCAGGACGGCAGCCAGTCCCCCGGCGTGGCAGGTGACCTGTTGCTCGGTCAGCTCTCTTGGCCAGCGAACCAGCTAAGCTGCAAACCAGTCTCGCCTGTGGGGCTTCCCGGGCTCCGAGGAGCTGCCTCGCCCGCAGGCCTGGCCCCGCTCTCCCGGGGCCCCTCCCGCCAAGGCCCTGCGGCCGGAGAGCGCCTGGCGCGCCCGCCCTGACGGCATTTGCAGCTCCAGCGCGCTCTCGCGCGCGTGCGCGTGCGCGCAGGGTCTGGGGCGGCTGGGGAGCTGTAAAGCCTCTTTAAAAGGGGCAATAAAAGTTTTGGGTTTCAGATGGTCTTGCCGGAGAAGAGAATAGCAGACAGGAAATTTCAGTAGCAGACAGACAAAGGCCGCGGCACGCAGACGCCCTCACACGGAAACGCCGCGGCGCTGCGCAAACAGGGGGCGTCCTGGCGGGGGCCCAGGGCGCCTCCCGCCATGCCAGCCTCGCCCCGCGGGGCAGGGGGGCGGGCGGAGGGGCCGCTACAATAGACTGTTTTGTCTAGTTGTTGTGAATGTTTATAATACTTCCCCGTTCGGCCGCCGGAGGTGTGCGGCGCCCCACCCCCGCGGGGCTCTGGGCCTGTGTGCGGGGAGGGGGTGTGCACCGGGCGGGGGCCGGTCCTTGGTGGCCAGGCCAGAGCGCCCGAGGCTCTGCCCTGTGCTGCGCCGGGTGTAGGGCCCGAGCCCAGGCGGGGGGCGCTCCTGCAGGCCTGTGCACGCCCCCGTCCCCAGCTCAATTCTGACGCGGTTCGGGGTGGGGGTGGGGGGCACGCCATCCTGCCTCCCTCGTCCTCCCCCCTGTCCTGGCAGCGAGGCCACAGCCAGAACTGGGTTCTGCAGCACGTCTACCTGGGTCATTGGGTGTGACCCAGGGTCCCCAACCCACGGGCCACGGGGTGGCCCGTCCACCTGTGGTGGCCGCCGGCCGCCGGGGCAGGGCTGCCCGACACTGTGCACAGGGTGCTGGAGCCCACTGCTTTTCAGGGGCGCGGCGAGTCACCCGCTGGTGCGTCCCATGCCCACAGGCCCCCAGCACCGCAACTGCTCTGGGGACATCGCTGTCCACTGTCCATCCAAGCCCACCAGCAGCCGGGCAGCCTGGGCTGCGCTTGACCCTGCACCTGCGGCTGTTCAAACCCACAGTAAGACCGACGCACGTGGGGAGCCTCCGCTCCTCCGACTCGACGGCCGGCCACGTTTCCCTCGTGCCGGAGCCAGGCGGCCCTCCACATCGCCGCCGTCACAGCCAGCGCCCAGCAGGGCGCTGCTCGGGGACTCTGGGAACACCGGGGGCTGCGTTTCTGGCTCTGGCCGGCGCAGACCCTGGCACTTGGGCTCCCCAGGCCCCCATGAGTCCCGCCTGGAGGCTGCCGTGGGTGGGTGGGGAAGGCTTTGCGGGGTGCCCCACCCCCGCGCCTGAGGTGCCAGGGCCGCGGAGACCCAAGGCTGGGTGACAGTGGCTGAGGCCCACGGCACTCCTTCCTCGTGTGTCTGGAGGAGGTATCGGGGTGGCCATTCTGGATGACCGCCCCCTTCTCCAGCCCCTCTCCCCGGCACCCCCTCCAGGCCCTTGGGCAGAGTCCCCATGGTGTCAAAGTGGCCCTTTGGGCCAGAGGCCCGTGCCTTTCAGATGCCTGACAAGACGCTGGGCACAGCCACCAGCTCGGCGGCTGGTGTCCAAGGGACGAGGGCCGGCCGTTGTTGTCCGGGCCCCCGGTGGCCTCCTCTGCGAAGTGGGCGCGGGCCCCCGCCCCGGGGCCCTCGGAGGGTCTGTGCGGGGCCCGGCCCTGCCTGGGAGGGGCGTGGCGGGCCCAGAGCCCGGGCGGACGGGCCGAGGGCTGGAGCGCGCCTCCTAATTGTCCATGACTTACAGGCTTGGCGGGGCTCCCAGACGGCCTCGTAAATCACCGCGGCCACAGTGAGCAGCCTGTTAGCGCGGCCCGGACGCGCTTGGCAGGCCCCTCGCCCCCTCCCTGCGCGGGAGCATCCCGCCGCTTCCAATTTTCCATGCGCTGCCCCGGAGGTGGGAGCTGGGCACGCCCACCGGGGTGGGCGGGGCGGCAGGGAGGTGGGGGCGGGGAGGGCGGGGCCGGGTGGGGTGCAGAGGGGCGGGGCAGGGCGGAGGGGAGCTGGGGGGACGGTGACCGGCAGGGCCGGCCACCTCGCCCTTGTGTGTTTCTGAGAAACGCCCCCTGCGCCCCCCCCCCCAGGGCTCCGGGGCCTCCGGTCCCTCACAGCCTGGCGCTGTGACCCGAGTGTCCCCAGGCCGGAGGGGAAGATTGTTCATGTGGCGTGTGCGTGTACACAAGTGTGCATGTGTGTGCACCCCACAGTCAGACCTGCAGCCCGTGGGGCGTCCCCCGCTCCCCAGGGCCCTGCCACGGGGACAGGCCTGGGTGGGTGATCCTGTTCCCTCCGCTGGGGAGGGCCCTGGGCACTGTGTGAAGAGCTGAGTGGTCTGCCCTGGCCGCCGCGGGCTGTGGGGACAGGGAGGTGCTGAGCCAGGGCGGGGCTGTGGGTGTCCCAGGCCTGAGACGGGGAACCTCTGGGCGGTCAGAGGGGCTGGCATGTGGGGGGGCCTGGCCAAGGGGTCCGCCCTGTCCCCAGACCCCGGTGTGAACCCCCCCCCCGTCTCCGGGCCCCTGAGGCGGGCCCCAGGTGACTCCCGGACCGAGGGCCGGCTGAGCCCCGCGGTGGGGTGGACGTGGGCGGGAGTGGCCTGGAAACACAAACAGGCCCCAGACAGGTGCGGGGAGCTTCCTGCCCGACAGATGTGCCGGGGCTGCTCGGGAAGCGGGGTGGGCGCGGGTTTGTGAGGTGATGTCTGGGAGACGCTCCCGCCACCCCCCGGGGCCGGCGCGGGCGGGCTGCACATGGGGGCGGGCGGCCGACCTCCCCAGAGCCCCGCCCGAGGGCCGCGGCGGGCCTCTGCCCCCGGCCCCTGCACCCAGCCCCACCTGCCGCGCCGGGGCGCCTGCCTGGGCAGGGCTCAGAGGACGGAAGTGGGCACGCACGAGGGCTCCCCGCGAGGCCAGTGAGTCGAGGTGCTTCTTATTGGTTACTGTTACCAAAAAACCTTAATTCAGAGACCGGCCAGAGCGGCAGCCGTGGGCGGGCAGGCCCGGGCTGGGGACAGAGCTGGCCCTGCTGGCTCCAGCCCCCTAAACGGTCACGCTCAGAGCCTGGGGACACGGGTCAGAGGGTCGATGCCAGTTTCCAAGCATGGGGAGGACACGAGAGCCCCTTGGTGGCCGGGAGCGGGCTGGGGCTTGCCGGGGAGGAGGGAGGGAGGAGGGGGAAGGGAGCAGACAGACAGGTGTGGCTCCGGGGCCCACACACCCATCCGTCGTCGTGGCGGAGGCCGGCAGGAGGGAGACTTCTCTCCGGCGCAGCACTCGGCAGCCCGTAGAAACGTCGGAAGGGGGTTCGCAGGAAGTGCTCCCCGCAGAGGTGCTCCTGGAACCCCTGCGCCCTCCCAGAGCGGGAGGGCGGGTTTCCCCGGGACACCCGGCCCCGGGGAAGGGCAGGAGGGCTCCCGGCAGGAGGCGGGTGGGCGGGGCCGGGGTGGGCTGCGGGGCGCGGTCAGACGCAGGCGCAGCAGAGCGTGGGGCAGTCCAGCTTGGCCGGCGGCCCCGCGCTCCCGGCCTTCTTGTTGACCTTGGGCAGCAGCAGGACCAAGCACATGGCCAGGGCGCAGTGGTAGAAGCTGTGGACGTAGGTGTAGTCCCAGTCCTGCGGGGCGGGCGGGGGTCGGTTCGAGGCCTCGGCAGCCCCCCGAGCTCCTCTCCTGTCCAGGCCCCCGTCCCCGCCCGCTCCGCACCGCCACAGACCGGGGCTCCTCCCGACCCCATCCCTTGGCCTCCCCTCGCTGTCCAGCCCTCGGTGGTCTCTCCGGCCACCAAGCCCCAGAGCACCGGAGGACCGTGCTGTCCGCTGGCCTTTGACCATGACCACGTCTGAGGCCCCTCTCTCCCTCCGCCCGTCACCCCGCCCCCTCCAGGTGAGGGCTGCCGCCCCAGCCCCCTCTCCTCTCTCAGTGTGCAGGGATGGAGGGAGGTTGCTGGCCCACACCCGGGAAGGCGTGGCCCCATGGACCCGCCCCGCCCCCAGGCACTGGCCCCGCCCCCCCCGCCCCCAGGTACCTCGAAGAAGAAGCGCAGCATCAGAGCCAGCGCCCCGAAGCAGAGGCCAGGGCCGATCTGCTGGGTGTACACGCTCTTGTCGGGGTATAGGCCCCTCTTCTCCTTCATCTGCCGCAGCTGCGGGGATGGGGCGACGGGAGGGCCCTCAGGTCACAGTGTCCCTCCGGGGACGGCCGCCCTGAGCCCAAAACCCCTCCGCCTGCCTGTTTGGGACGTCGCCAGGCCCCCTGCACCTTTCTCCGTCCCAGCCACAGGGGCCCCCGGGGGGACGAGACACTGTTCACAGCCGAGGGGTGTCGGGGTGCTGGGCCTGCCGCCGGTGTGGACCGGGGGTACCCGTGGTGGCCTTTGGGGTGGCCTTTGGTGCGTCCGTGGCTGCCGGACACGCAGCCCTACCGATCACACAGTCGTGACGAGCACGTCGAACCTGCGACTCCCCGGGTGTGGAATGCAGAGTGCTCAGCGGGCGTTAATGTCCCGCACGATGGACACTCCTACGCCGACCGACTCAAGGACATGACGGGGGCCACATCCCGCAGGCCCGCCCCCGCAGCCGAGCCGCTCCAGAGCCCCGGCGTTCTGGGCAGAAGTGAGACAGGCGGCTGCACCCACCATGGGGGTTCAGGCCCCCGGCCCTGTGTGGCAGTGCTCGCAGAGCGCAGGGCGGCCCTCGCCCCCAGGGAGTGAGGGAGCACAGCTCGGTGTCCAGTTCCCCGGACTTGGCCGTGGCCCGTGAGGGGCCGGGACCTGCGCTAGTGCAGGTGGCTCGCAGGTGCGGCTGCTGCGGCCCAGGGAGGCCTCAGCCGGCCGGCCGGCTGGCCCTGCACCTGCCCGAGGTCGCACCCTGGCCGGGGCTGCAGCCGGTGCACACCTCTGCCAGGCCCTTGCCCCGGGGAAGGGGTGCACCTCCCGGAGAAAAAGCCACCTTGTTCCCTGGAAACAGCTGCCCCTGGAAATCCAGAGTAAACTCCACGTTCAATGGTCCAGAAAACGCAGGCTGAGCCCCAGGCGCAGGGAGCCGGGCCGCCCTTGCAGGTCCGTGTCCGGGCCCGCAGCCCCAGGGAGCGCTGTGGGGGTGTCGGCGAGCGGCCGCCGCTCTTCTGGCCGAGTAACATGCAGCCCAGACTCCGACCTACGAAGACCCAGGGGCTGAGCTGCCCTCCGGGCCAGGCCAGGAGCCTTCACCCCGCATCCCCCCCACGGCGGGCAGCTGGTCAGAGCCCGGGGCCCTCTCTGTTGTCGCGTTCCGGCACGTCCCTGAACTCGGTCCTTCCTCGGGGCCAGACGTGCGACGGGCACGCTCACAGGCAGCTTCGGGGGCCTCCTGGGCCCACCCAGGGCCAGGGTGTCTTCCCCGAGTGGGGCCGGGGAAGGCCCTGTGTCTCTTGTCTTGCTGCCAAGGCCAAGGCCTGGCCTCGGGCCACCCCGCTGCCACTGCTTGTTACCGTGCGGTCTCTCTGCCCCTTCTCTTTACCGACCACAGGGCAGAGCAAACCCTCCACTCCCGGGGGCGGGGAGGGCAGCCGAGGTGGAGGGCTCACCACCACAACCTTGTCTACCCCCCGAGTCCGTGGAGTGGGCGGCACGCACCGTCCGCACCCCCGGCCCGGCCAACCCCTCCCCTGAGCGATGCCCTTCCCAGCTCCGGGGTCCCCGGGAGCGTCACTGCGTCCGTCCTGCCTCAGCATCCCTCGTTAGCTTGGGCCAGGGGGGATGGGTCCTGGCCCTCGAACCCAGGAGGGGCCTGGGGGCTGTGTGTTAGGGCCTCGTGGGCGTCGGGTCCGTGACTGCCCAACGGCGTCAGAGACTCCTGCCTCGACACTCATGCGCAGTTCCAGCTCCTGTCCCATGTGCACCACATCCTCCCACCTCATTGGAGCCACGCTGAAGACCTCCTCCGGGAAGTCTTCCCAGATTAACCCCGGCCATCTTTACTTGATATTACATCCTCAAATCAACCATTCTTTTCCCTGATGATAACAAGTAGCCCCTGTTGGCTGAGCACATGAGAAGCCAGCTCTGTGTCAGGACTCAAGACGCATCATTGCCCTGGCTGGTGTGGCTCAGGGGATTGAACATTGGCCTGCAAACCCAAGGGCCGCCAGTTCGATTCCTGGTCAGGGCACGTGCCTGGGTTGTGGGCCTGGCCCCCAGTAGGGGGCGCAGGAGAGGCCACCACACATGGATGTGTCTCTCCTTCTCTTTCTCCCTCCCTTCCCCTCTCTCTGAAAATAAATAAATACCATCTTTAAAAATTTTCCCTGTGAGGTGGATACTGGACTATCACGCCCACTTTACAAACACGGACACTGAGGCAGAGAGGTCCAGCGACTCAGGTCGGGCCCAGACACAACCAGAGAGGACCGTGTGGCTGGGCCCCGAGGGCCCTCTTCCATGTGTTTTGGCCGAAGCTGCGTCCAGCCGCCTGCCGGCCCGTGGGGTGGGAGGGAAGGGAGACACTCGGGGGGGGGGGGCCGGCCCGGTACGCACCCACTTGGCCGTGATGATGAGGACGGCCGTGCCCACGGGGCCCGAGTACACCCCGTAGCCCTGGCGGTCGTGGTAGGTGCGGACGGCGATGGTCAGCACGCCGAACATCACCAGCGTGGACCTCCTGGGTTCGTCGAAGTCGGCCAGCGCTGCAGGGGCGGGGGACAGAGACCCGGAAAGGCGAGTGGCCTCCTTGCCCCCCACCCTGCCCCCGGCCACTGCTCTCCCGCAGGCGTCCCCTAGGGCCCCAGCTGTGGCTGGAAGCCCCGACCCCCCGCCTGGCCTGGTGCCCCCGAGGCCTGGATGCCGCCTGCCCGCAGGCAGGGCCAGGCTGCTGCTTCCCCGTGGACGCCGCGAGGCTGGACAAGAAGCCACTGCGTGGGGCCTCAAGGAGGACGACGCAGACCGGAGGCAGACGCAGACCGGAGGCAGACGAAGACCGTCGGGGCCTCCGTGGGGCCTCCATGGGCAGCAGGCTCGCTCGGCGGGGACCGTGTCCCGGCTCCGCCTCGGACAGCCGCAAGCGAGACGGAGGTGCAGGGCCACGTGCGCTGGAACCAGCCGGCCTTCGCACAGACCCGGCCGAAACCGAAACCGCGCGGCCGTGTGTGTGAGCCAGGGCCTGGGGGTGAACCCCGACGGCCAACGGGGGTTCTCCGGCTGAAAGACGGGGGTGGGGTGGGGGCGGAGCGCTCTGGCACCTCCCTCCGCCGCGTACAGCTGTCGCCACAAGCCCTCGTTGGGTGTGTGCGTTTAAAAGGGCGTGAAACACGGGAATCGTGGCCTTCGAGAACCGCGCCTTCCTTTTTGGAGACTGGGCTCGCCTCGGGAGCCCGGGAGAGGGAGGAGGCTCTGGGGTGGGGGCGGGGCCAGGGCCGCGGGCGGGGCGGGGCCAGGGGCGGGGCCGCGGCGGGGCCACTGCAGGGGGGCGCCACTCACCCATCAGGGAGACCCACATGCTGAGCGCCGTGCCGTAGATGCTGAAATACTCGAGGACGTCGTGGCGCAGGAAGCACAGCACCGCCAGGCCCGGCCCGTCGCACGCGTGGAAGAGCTGCCGGGAGGGAGGCCCGGGGCGGCGGTCAGTGGCGGGGGCCGGCACGGGGGGGGACCCCGGGCCCTGTCCGCCGTGGGCCGGGCCCCTGACGGCCTGGGAGACCTCGGGCAACGTCACCGAGCGGCTGCCCCTGTGGAGCGGGGCCCTGCTGGCGGCTGCCCCCGGAGGGTCCTGTGGCCGGGAGCTGGGGGTCACCCAGACGAGGCCTGCAGAGGTCCCCTCCCCACCGGGGCCCCGGAGCCAGGTCCCTCTCCCCGACCTTTGGATGCGAGGCCCAAGCCTTTTTTTTGGGGGGGGGGGTGCCAGTCTGCTCCTTAGCAGCCGCCCAGAGGGCCTGTCCCTCCACAGTGTAGCCCTCTGGGGACTGGGCTGCCCCTCGCCCACATGGGATTTCCCAGGCCCCACGGGGCTTTGGGAGCCTCCGGCTTCTGATGGTCCCCCGAGAGACCCCGAGACTCGGTGGGTCGGCGGGCGCGGCGTCGGAGGTCTGCGTGTTGGGCCGGGTGTGGGGCTGGAGCCGAGGCTGCCGGTGGGGACCCGGTTCTGACAACCAGCGTCTGCAGCTCTCGGCGTCCGCGGGAAGCTGCCGAGCACGCGCGGAGCACAGCGACCCCGCCCCCTTCCCGTGGGCCACCGGTTAGACTGGGACGCGTTCTGGGGGAGACGCGGAGGGAGACAGAGGCGGCGACGTGAGTGCCCCCCACGGCGCTCTCTCAGGCCGGTCCGCGGGGGCGCCCTGACCTGGGACCAGACCTTAGCGCGAGATGCCCTCGGGGCGCGTTTTCAGAGCTGTCAGCTTCTCTCTGACAGAAAACAACCCCCTTTCGTGTACACATTTCATCATGCTAGGTAATATTTAATTACATGACATAATTATTTTGACAAGTCCCACGGCACAGACCAGCCGGGGACCGGCACAATGGACCCTTGATGGGCCTGGCCCGGCGGGAGGGAGGGGTGGACAGGCAGCAGCCCGTCTGGGGGCCCCGGGACGGCTCGGGGTCGTCCGGTGCATGGGGCCAGCGGGAACGGGCTCACGGCTTCTACTGGCTGCGGCCGCAGGTGACCCGAGGTGCAGGTGCACCCGGGCGGCCATGCTGGGGGCGAGCATCCCAACGAGGCGGGGACGGCCCCTCAGCTCCAGCCAGCCCGCCCGCCCCCCCCGCCCAGTGTTGCAGGATGCTACACCGTTGGAGGTGATGCTGGCTGAGAAGGGGCTAGGGGAACAAGCAGGCAGTGGCTGCGACTGAGTAGCTAGGGAAATAGCAGCTTCAGGTGGGGTCTGATCAAGGGTGCAGTCCCCATGGCACAGAGGCCAGAGGAGGAGGCTGGCCCCGTCCCATGGCTCCAGGCCCAGCCCGGCCCGATGAGTGACAGGGGCGTCCTCCTGCCTCACCCCCCCCCCCGCCCCTCCCAGAACCACAACTCCCATGGCCCCACCCAGACTCCCTTTCCGCTGCCCTGCACCCATGCCTCTCCTCTGTGGCACAGACCCCCACACATGCCTGCAGACTGAATTGTGCTGACACTCTGGGCAGGGCCTGTGGCCCACCCCACCCAGAGTGGGGGTGTGTCTGCCTCCTCCTGGCCGTGAGGGGCTCCCTGCAGCGGGTGGTCAGTAAGCCTCTGCCATGGGGGGCAGGGCCCGGGAGGCGGGGACCGGAGCAGTTTAAGGGGAGCTGGTCCGGGAGCCCCGCTCTAGGCCCCTGCCTGGTTCACCTGCGTCGGGCAGGTGGGCAGCTGAGGCTTCCTGCCATATTTGGGGGCAGGGGGCAGGGGCAAGCCCAGCCCAGGAGGGCGCTGGCGGGGCGGGGCGGGGCGGGGCGGGGCGGGGCTGCGGGAGAGCACGCAACCTCAGGGCCAACCCAGCGGGTCCTTGCTGCGCAGGCTCGGCGAGTGGCTGACCGCGCTCGGGCCCCTCTGGCAAACGGGGACAAGAAAAGCCGCTCCGTGGGGCGGCCACGGGACTCCGGCGATGGCACAGGCACGGAGCCTGGCGTGGACGTGGCATTTGTCCTGGAGGGTCCTGTCCGGGACACGGGCAGCCCTCACGGGGATGCCGGGAGGGGCTCCCGAACAGAGGGGCTGCGTGTGGCTTTGAGGCCTGAGGACATTTGTCACAGGAGGCAGCTGGCCCTGCCACTCCGGGTGGGGCAGGGCCGGCCTCTGAGGGTGGTGGGGAGGCAGCTGCGGGACCAGCCCAGCCCGGGCGGGGACAGGCGGTGCCTGCGGTTTCCTGGGCTGGGCCCCACGTGGGCCTGGGGGACGAGACCCCCGGCTCCGGTCCGCGGCCCTGACACCCTCGTCCCGTGTCCACTCGGTGCCTCCACTTCCCGCCCGTCACGAGCTGACCTCCTCTCCCGAGCCGGGGCCCGGAGAGGGGCGTGGAACGGCGTTCTCCGCAAAACGCCGCGAATGAGCCAGGAGCTCGGGAGCGTGCCTGGGGCTTCCCCGGGCGCACGCGTCTCGGCCTCGCTGGGGCTCGGCGCGTTTGCCTGACGAAGGAGCCCCTGGTGGTCCAGGCGCACGCGGTGCGGAGAAGCCTAACCGGGCTCATGTGCATGAGGCTCTCAGCTCACCCCCACCCGGGACGCCCGCTCGTGGTCAGCGCCCTCGTCGCTGAGAAGTCTCTCCCACCCAGAGGTGGGGTCCCGAGCCCCCCGGGAATGCGGTTCCACCCGAGGGTCCGCTACAGGGGCGGACAGGCGATCGATCGGACAGACGGGCGGACGGAAGCTGGAGGGATGGACGGAGGCGGAGGGATACACCGAGGGTCGGGGAAGACAGCCGGAGAGGGGACGGGGTGGGATTCCAGGCACCGAGGGACAACCAGACGCAGACGCGGAGAGAGACAGACAGACAGGACAGACACAGAGAGAACGCAGAGGGGGAGAGACCCCCGGGGAGCCGGGGCGGGGCGCGGGGGTCCCAGAGAGTCCCCCCACGCGTCCTCAGAACGAGAAGGAAGGCCCAGAAGACCGAGAGGCACGTGCCCACGGGCAGGGTCCTGTGGAAGGGGGGGCCGGCTCCAGACTCCGCAGGCGGGCGGACTCGCAGGCCCTGCACGCCCCCCAGGCCTGCTCGCCCCTCCGGGGCCTGGCTCGCTCGGCCCGCCCAGCCCAGCCGCCCAGTTCTCGCCGCCCGGAGAGGAGTGGGGGAGGGGACGCCGGAGCCGTGGTGGCCTGACGCGGCCGGCCACCGGCAAGGAAAGGGCACCCCGAAAGGGCTTGTGCTCCACGGACCGAACCTGGCCTCACTCACGCCGACCCCAGAGTGACCGCCTGGTGCCAGCGGGGAAACTGAGGCCCAGAGGGGCGCCGTGGCACCCCCACCCCCTCTCCCGGTCTCCAGACTTTCCCTTTCACCTGGAAACCACTTTTCCTCAGCACAAGATACAGGGAGGAGGGGGAGGACGCCCCCCCACCAGTGGGACAGCGCCCCCCACGGCCGCCCCCTCCCCCGCCCAGACTCACCGCCACGAAGAACATGGTGAAGAGGTAGACCATGGCCTCCATGTGGAAGCGCCTCTTGGCGGCGATGCTGATGGTGGGGAGAAAGGCCAGGCTGCTGAGGGTGGGCAGGAGCAGTTTGGCCACGAGCGTCCCCATGGGCCGGGGCGGAGGGCACTGGCCGGGGAGGAGGGTGGCTGCCGGCCTCGCGGGTCCCCGGGGCCGGGAGAACCCAGGGCGGGAGCGGCTCCGAGGGCAGCTGTGCTGTGGCCGCCGCGGAGAGGGAGGCCGGGATCTGAGGGCGCACGCCCCGCGGCCCGAGCAGAGGGTCGGACAGCTGACGCACCACGTGACCAGCACTTGTCTCTGAGGTTCCAGTTTCTTATTTTTATTTTCTGAGAGGCCAGAGTTAATTCGAGGAGACCGTGCGTCTGTTTCAGAGGCAGCGGCCTTGGGGGAGGAAGTCCCACTGAGCGCGATGTCCAGCTTCCCGCCACTTCCCACCTTGGGCCTCTCCCCAGGGCGCTGGGGAGCCGGGAGGGAGGGCGCCGGGGGCCCCGGGCTGGAGCCACCTGTCCGCCGCAGCAGAGGTGAGAGAGCCGGGCTGAGCCTCATCTGAACACTGCAGGGACCTTGTGGGTGAACTACCCCAGTTAGGGGCCCTGTGCGCTGCTCACTCTCGGGCTCGCTCCCCCTTGGGTTTCCCTGGTGACCGGACTCCTGAAACTGACATCTCACTCTGCCTGGATACTTTGTTGCGCCCGGCAGTCCGCAGACCAGGGCGCCTGTGAAGCGCGGCTTCCTTCTCAGCGTTCCTAGCCTTCTGGAGATTACCTCCCCTCCTTGCAAGAGGTCTTGGGGGAGCTGTCGGGCAGGTGCCCCCTCTTTCTCTGGCCAACGGATGAGGGGCGTGTGTGGGCCCCCCAGGCGGACTCGCTCCCTGGAAGGACTGGGCGCCTGGTTCACTGGCTGGTTTGTTTCAGCAGCCAAACAGCTTCCCTTCCTGTTTTTGTTTTTGTTTTTTTTTAATCAGGACAGAATGCTGAGATGACGTCGCACGTGACCACAGGCACAGCTCTGAAGCGTGCAGCTCGGTGACTTTGGACACGCGCACACAGGTGTGCGGCCACCACAGCCTGCCCACCACCCCGGGGTGTCCCTCGTGTGAGGGACTCCCGGCGGCAGACGCACCTCGGCCGTGGCTGCTGGCCTTGCCTGTTCTGGACGCCCTGCAGGGGGACAGTGAGCGTTCTGGGGGCTGCGTTCTGTCGCTGGAAATCCCCGAGGTCCCCCCACACTGTGTCAGGTGGCCCGTTCCTGTGGTCGCCGGGCTGGCGGGGGTCTGCCGTGTGGAGAGTCTGTCCCCCTGGGCGTGGAGCCTGGCGTGTGGGGAGGGCCAGAGCGAGGCCGAGAGCTGCCGGCCGCTCTCAGCGCGGCAGATGGAGGCTGCGGCCGGTCCCGGGGCCCCGTCCGTCCGGGGCCGGCGCCCCCCGCCCCCCCTGGGAGCTCCTCACACCGTCCCAGAAATCAATTTGTGCCTGGAGTCGCCGGAGCCGTCTCTGCTGCTCGCCAGCCACGAGTGGGCCTGCGCTGCGCATACGCCCGAGCCGTCCTGGGGCTTGAGTGCCTGCCAAGCCCCCGCAGCTCCGGGGGCGAGCTCCGAGCTTCCCGGAGACCGCCGGGGCCCCCCCCACCGCACCCTGCTCTGCTCCCTGTCGCCCCGGCCCACGGCACACCCGTCTCCACCAGCCTCCCGCCTCCCCTTCGAGGACGTCCCTCCGTCTGGGGGGCAGGCCGAGGTGCCCACTGGCTCCTGTCCCAGTGCCCACCGCTGGCAGAGCTGTGGCCCGGGGCTTGCTCCGGCGGTGACCGCGCCGGGCTCGCCGGCCAGCTCACCGCCATGGCCCTCGGCGCCCGAGCCGGCCCCTGGCCGGTGTTCAACAAGCACAGCTGAATGAGTGACTCTGCGAAAAGAATGAATGAGACTCCGGGGCAGGGGTGGGCGCTGCGCAGTTGGGGCTGGCACTTGGGAGCCCAGTTCCCTCTCCGATGGGGAAACCAGATCCCGCCTGCTCGCGGAGGCTGGGGGCTGGGGGCGAGAGGCAGGCAACCCCCTTCGCCTGTCAGGGAACCCGGACCGTCCCTGCCCCCTGCTCCCTGCCCCTCAGCCCCTGCCCCTCAGCCCCTGCTCACCCTTGCCCCCAGCCCCAGCCCCAGCCCCAGCCCGGGCCCCGGCTTCCAGTAGAAGCAGACAGCGTGTGGGGAGGAAGTGTGATTAGGTGCCAGGTGTTAGCAGAGAACTCTCTGGAGCCGTAAACCGCTCAGAAGCAGGGAAACATTCCACAGTTGGTTTTGTGCATGAGTGTGTGTGTGTGCGCGTTTCAGCTGTAAACTGCGGGGAGGGGCGCCGGAGGGGGGAGGTGGAGGAAGGCCAGAGTGGCTGGTTGCCCATGTGTTTGGGTGATTACGGGGGAGGGGGCTGAGGAGGGACTGCCCCAGAGCGGGGAGACAGGTGGCTGGGCCCGGGGTGGCCCCAGGAGCCCCTGCGGGAGGGCTGGGCCGCGGGCTGCCGTTTAACGTGGGGGGCCGGCCGGAGTGCAGAATGGGGGGTGGGGGGCGACCTGCGAGTGACTCCCATCTGAGACCTGGCCGCGAGCAGACAGACCAGCTGGCGGGGGGAGAGGCCTCCAGCGCCGGCCAGGACTGAGATGACCCCCGGCTCTCCCTGGAGCAGGGGAGGCGATTGGCGGGGGGAGCTGGGACCGGGGGAGACCGAGTGGAAGAGACAGGCCAGCTGCTCTGGGGGTGGTGCTGCCTCCGGAGGCACAGGGTGGGGGGCCGGGCTGGGAGCCGACCCAACCTGGGCAGGCGCCGAGCCAGTGGGGACGTGAGCTGGCAGCCCCCGGCCTCCCCGCGCATCTGCGGCCTCCGCCTGCCAGCTGCCGGCGACGGTCCCCGCCCCCACCCCACCTCACCTGCTCCTGCTCGGCCCGGCAGACCCCACAGGCGGCACGCCTGCCTCCGGCCAGGCCGCCCCCGCCCAGCGGGCCTCCCCTGCTCAGATGTGGCCCTCCGCCTCCCCGACCCCCGAGGGGTGTGTCTCCCCCCTCCCCTAACCCCCACGGCCTGTGTGCGTCTTGAAAACCACTTACACACACAGACATTTATTCAGCGCTGGCCGTGCGCCGGGCCCTGGGCCAAGGCCTCTTCCTCCTCCGTCCCGCTGGGCCCTGTCAGCAGCCAGGGGCGGGGCAGGTCCTCCGCTCTCCCCAGGTCACCGAGGGGGAGACTGAGGCCCAGGGGGTCGCGGAGACGGGCCCCGGGCACCCACTCCCAGCGCAGCACCCACGGGGACCGGCGTCTCAGACACAGCGGCCTGGCCTCCCCTCCCAGCCCCCGGGCGCTGCGGCATCCCCGCTGTGCCCAGCAGGTGGCATCGGTCCCATGAGGACCCGGCAGGGGCCAGTCCCGGCCGGGGGTGCCCCGGGTGGGGCAGCTGCAAGGTGGGGAGCAGGCGCGGGGCCCGCCTGCCTGTGCCCCCTGTGCCCCCTGCTGGCCGGCAAAGCCCAGTTTGTGGAGGTGCTGCAATGCCTGGAATGCCACCGCCCCCGGGACAGCTGCCTGTCTGCCCTGCCCGGCCCAGGCCTGCTGGGCCAGCTGCTGCGTTCGCGCCCTCCACGTCTGTCCAGCGCAGCGGCCCCGGGGGCTCTGCGTGCTGGGGCCCCTGAAGACCCCTGCACCTGGTGGGTAGCAGTCTGGGCTTTGGTCCTCCGCACTTCCTTCCGCGGGGTCCCCGGCCTGGGCTGCGGCCTGTGGCCATTGGTCTGCGCACGAGACGGGTGTGTCTGTGTGTCTGCAACCGGCCTCGTGATGGCCGCCAGGCGGTGTCTTCAGCCGCTGGCTGGACGCGAGCAGCTCAGGCCGCCCCAGCTCCTGCACCCCTGCCAGGTGAGCCGGGTGGGGCGCCCCGCCCCTTCCCAGCCCGGGGGCCTGGTGGGCCCCCACCACCTGAGCCTGGAGCCCTGGCCTGCAGATGGGGCTGGCGCGGTCCCTGCCACAGCGGGCGGTGCATGCGAGGCCGGGAGCTCAGTGGGGTGGGCCTCCAGGGTGTCCACTCTAAGGGTCGGTCAGAAAACTCCTGGAGGGCACCCTCACAGTGCCATGGGGGTTCTCAGCATCTGGGGTGTGGCCCCCCCATGATGAGAGGAGGGGCTGCTCAGGAGCCCGGGAGCCCTGGGGCAGGACTGGGGCGGCGGGCAGGCTTGTCCGCGCTGCGCACCCCGGCTGCTGGGCGCCGCCTCTCACACAGTCCGTTACCTCGGTGACGAGGAGGGCAAGGCAGAGAGGGGACAGGGCTCCTGGGGGCCCAACCTGTCCTTGGGGACAGGCGTGTGGTGGGGGAGCCCCTGTGGGTGAGGAGACTGGCCTGCTGGCTCTTGCAAGTTCGCCGGAGCGACACCGAACTCTCGGCTGTCCCCACTTTGGATCTGGGGACAAAAGACCCTCTTTCTTGAAGCTTCTGAGGGCAGGAGTGTCCCGTGCCCCCCGAGCCCCCCAAGTCCCCCGAGCCCCCACACTTGGACTCCAGCACTGGGCCTCGGGGAGCCCCTGGCCGAGACGGCGGGACAGGAGGGGACCGAGAGTCCCCGTGAGGCTCCCGCCCCCCACGCTGGGGTCTGCCGGGGTTTCCTCCTGAGGGTCTGGCCCTGGGCCCAGGCTGGGCGCTCGGGGGGTGGGGGGGGGTTGGTGGGCTGCTGGGGCTGCCTTCTGGGGCCTGGCCCTTTTCCGTGCCTGGCCGTACGGTTCCCTTGGGGGCCCAGTCCCCGGTGGGTGCAAGGGCTCAGTTGTCCCAGGCCCTGGGCCTCCGCCGAGAGGAGGACAGGCAGGCCATTGGGGGTAGGGGTGGAGCTGGGCTACCCTCCAGACCTGACTGGGTGGCTTCCCCAGGCCGGGGTGGGACCCACCTCCCCCGGCCTCTGTACCACGTCTGGGGGCCTTCTCGTCTCTGCTCCGGGCTGTGCGGGACTGGGCCGGCCATCCCGTGGCCCACTGTGCCCTGTCCCCGCCCCACCCCTCTCCCTGAGCCGGCCTCCAACCCCCACCTGCTTTTTAAAAGATTTTATTTATTTATTTTTAGAGAGAGGGGGAGGGAGGGAGAAAGAGAGGGAGAGGAACATCAGTGTGTGGTTGCCTCTCACATGCCCC